TCTATATTTTTACGTGAGCAGGCTATAGCATTATATAACATATGAGCCTATACTTTGAACAAACATTGGGAGCTTTGTTTCAACAGTCAGGCTCTAAAGTAGAAAACACTTCAGCCACATGACACAATGGCGTCACCTAGTGTCTAAAGTATAGTGTTCACGAAACTTCATCAATCTTGATCCAGTGTAGCTGAATTGAATCCTTGTTTTTAACTTCTATTAACTAACTAGTGAACAGCTCATAGAAACACAGCCTGCAGGATAGTGGACAGCTTTAATCCTGTCTTAACTGCAAATTGATAATTCAAAGTACTTTTTCGATCTTGTTTTTAACTCAGCTTGAGTCTATCTTGTGATTCCTACCATTATTCTACTTTGTCTAGGTCTTTTTTGTTGAATTTATCTTCTGTGCATCTTCTGTATTTGTGTTTTCTTTGTCTTATCTTGTGTCCATGCAAAGCACTTTGACTTCACTCCTGTTTTTAACATGCCATGTAAATAAATCTGTGACTTTAATACTTCCTGATGTGATCCACAGGTTTGCACTGCATCATTTGGTCTCACAATAAAGGAGCTGATTCCTCTACACTGGCAGCATATATATAGAACAAAGGAAAATAGAAGAACAGAAGAATAAAAATGCTTGCATGAGCAGAGGTAGTCACCACAAAAACCAGGAAACAAGACTGACCACACAGCTGTCTGACTAGGAAGTCATCTCTGGGAACTGAAGCACAAATTCAGCTAAAAAAATAAACACTAAGCACAAAAAATGGAGATGATAGTCACTTAGGTTCCTGTAAAACCTCTACTCCCTTACATATTTTTAATACAGATTTGGCACACAATACCCATTTGGCACACACTGTCATCAGGCCCACATACTGTGTGGCATGATGACATTTGGGGGGCCTGCTCCTGTTTTCCAGATCTGGGCCACAACTAAGTCATAGCAATACTGCAAGAGAACCAAAGATTGCCTGAATTTGTTTTGTGCTATTTGAGCCATATTGACCATTTACCACATGGGCCACTTTAGGTTATTTTCCAGATTACACTTTATCCAAAGCACTGCGGTTGCCAAAAAGGGCCACATTTGTTTTGTGATATTTGGGCCACATTTTCTATTTTATAAGCGGGCAACCTTAGGCTAACATTTATTTTGTTCAGGTCATCAGAAGACCAGAAATGTTGCATCTTTGTGTGAACACCCATCTGCTATCTGGATCATGCTCCATCCCTCTGCAATCAAAACTCATCTAATAGGATTGTTCATCATCATGTTAATTACTAAGACAGTATCTGGACCCATCAGCCCTCCTCGCTGTGATGACCTCTGACCTCCGCTCTCATCCAAGGAAACTGCTGACAGAGTAGGTGCATGATGGGATGGTCAGTCTGTTGCTCATACATATTTATACATAATAACGGGTGGATAAATATTCCATAACTTAAAAGATTCCAGTCTGTGACCATTATTATGAATTATTCAGCCACCACACATGGCTGCACAAGAGGTAAGAGATGGATCAAATGCATGAGTGCAAATGCAAGAAAACAGGGGTCACCGTTTTTTTTGGGTGATGCTGAGATTTTGGTGGATTTAAATAATCTCTTCTCTTCTCTTCTCCTCTCTTCTCTTCCCATGTGTGTCCACTCCCTCAGTGGACAAAGAAACCATCATTGCAGGTCTGCTAATTGGTTTGATCATCGCGAGATTCACATCCAATTATCGCACCTTTCACCGGCAGCTGCGCAAGACGATACATGCCCGTGCGTAAAAATGCGTAAAAAGCTCCAAATAACGCACACAATACCCATTTTTCGCCGAATGCAAGAATTAACTATTGATATTTCAGCTATTACTGCAATAAAGGTAAACAAATTGAAGCTGAAGAAAATTATATTTTACAACAGGCATCTCAGTATTAATAATCCAAAATCCAAAACAACTGTGGCCGTTTTTATCCAACTTCAGAGCTCCTCTCGCCACCAGAGCATATTGTTGCTTTCCACATGGCTGTATATGTTAAGTTCCCTCTCTCCTGATTTCTCCTTCAATAAAAATAAATCTGAAATCAGTTCTTACCATAGCAGTGTGCGTCCTCCGTCCTCTTCCTTATTCGAGCGATGTATCCCATTTATCGCTCGTTATCTTCATGCCTCCCTGGCTGAGCGGCATTCGGAGCCGGGAGAATTCAACCGACAGCTGGGCGATCCAATAGAAAACGCGCACTGGCACGCCTGAGCCAATCAGCAGTGAGGGTGGGACGTCTGAGTCAGGGTTGCATACCTCTCTCTCCTCCACATCAGGGTCTGTGAGAGCTTTACTTCAGTGTCATCAGGCACAGCAATGATTTCAATTAGTTTTCAATGACAAAAGAAATAGTGGAGATATCATACTCAGAGGAGACATGGCACAGCTTTAAGTGTTCTTTGTGCCAAAAAATAAAATCTTGCCTGAGTTTGATAACCAGGGACAGGCCACTTTGTAATCTGGGACACTTGATTAGGCTATAAGAAAAAGCCTTACTCACTTAATGCATGCCAAGCTCAATATAACCCATTTAAAAAAAAAAAACATAATGAAAAGAGGACTAAGAAAATGAATTATAAAATGTATATTATTCATAGAAATCTCATAAACGTATATAACGTGTAAAAGTCACATTATTTAAACAAAGAACCCTATCTTAAATAAAGAAACTAAAATATTAATTTAAAACATTCTATTAAAGGTGTATCACATTCATCACAACAAATATATTAAAATTCAATCAACAGCAAGCAACAATAACAATTACAGACATTTGCTATTTCTATTGGGGCTACTCGGAACAAACAGTCCTTGCAGGTGAGAGACCGGCTACCATCAGTCACCCCATTGTCTTTTCCACAACCATACCCCTTTTCTGTGACACCAAGTCATGTGATTTCAGTCACATGATGTCCATGCCCAACCTTTGGTAAAAGTCCTGACAAAACATTTTCAGAGCAGGAAATAAACAGACTGAGCTTTGGTGTCCCACATTTCCAAATGTCCCAGATTAAATGAACTATTTTATTTTGTTATGTTAATTTTCTTTTGTTAGATTATGGATCAATGAATACATGTGGTCGTATTACATCTTAAATCTGGTGTTTTTATTCCGTATCATGCACCTTTTTTTGTGGTTCAAAATGCTTGGAAAACTGTATTTTTGACCCTAACCCAAGATTTCTGTTCACAAATGCAATGATAATAAAGTTGAATTCGTCCAGCACAGTCACCACTAAAGATGCAATGGTCGGTTTTATTTTTCCCACCTCAACAGTGAAGGAAAAGTCCCTGTGACCTGTGAAGATTTATTTCTCCCATCCTGTTTTTCAGCCTGGATGTGCCATCTAGGAAACTATTGTATGGTGGAAGCAGAAACTGTAGGAAGTCTCCCTCTCTCTCTTTCTCTCTCTCTCTCTCTCTCACTGAATAGGATTTATGATTCAACACGTACAGAGGAAGTTAGCTGCTCCACCAGCTGAACGACTTCCCTCATGGAGAACAGCTCATTCTAAAGGATATGGCTGAAGTGGAATTACTGACGTTATTCTCCCTCTCTTCTGGTTTATTACTGGGCCATTCTGCTAATTGACCAGATATCCTCGTTAGGAGGACAATGCAGCCCTGATTGCAGCCCAGTGAGCGGCCTCGACAAACTCAAAGACTCTCTGTTCTCTCAATCAGACACCACAATGTCTCTTGGCCTCCTGACCACACTCACATGTCATGGCTTTTGATTTAAAAACAAGAGATTGAAAGAATGAACTACACCATGTAGCTGCTGGGGATGTAGTATGCGTATGCACATGAAGAATAACCCAGTTGTTTCACCCACAGGCTGTTTATGTGTTTCACGAGTCTGGTGTCTGGGCCACAGCTCTCAGTGAGGTGCTTTGTGAGGAATGAGGCTCTCAGCCGTTATTGATTCTTTCTTTAGCTTTGATGCTGCAGAGATGCAGCCTCTTAAGCTAACAGTTAGTGTACTTACAGGTCTGCGAACAAAGGAATACAGAGTGTGTGTGGATTGTGTGTGTGTATGTGTTTTGATATCACATAACAGTATTGATTTGTGACCTGTACGAAGGAGGATTGTGATAAAACTGAAGAAAGCCATACTTACCATCGTACTCACCTTTGTACCACAAACATGATAATTCCAGGGTGATTCATGGAGCTTGTGTCTGACTCACTCACCCAATTAATATCATCAATGCACTTGGTTATTAATGCATGAATGATACTGGTGTGTTGGCACATTACATGTGTTTTGGTGGCCCACGGTTAGAGCTCCCGTGGGTGATCTGATGTTCCTCTCTCATCAACATAATCACGCCGGCGCTCCTCCCCAGAGCTCCGTCTCCATGGCCACCACTCACACATGACAAAAACACACAATGAGGAGATTTGAACGTGACTGACACTTGCACCTGCACAAGCTCTAATGCCTCAGTCACATTTGCACATATTTTCTCTGATGCCCGAATGAATGAAATGAAACAGTTGATCTAATTTATTGTCTCATGAATAATTGATGCTGCACTAACTGGATTGGATTGCTCTCTGTAAATGTCTTGCCGTTAAATCAATGCTGGATTTGCACAACAGATTGTCAGACACCAAGCCACCCACGAGCACATGTAGGTACAAATTGTTTAATTTCTTTCATTTTATACATTTGAATCTGTTGTTAAAAACACATTAAAAAAATGTGCACATAGACATCTTTTGTTAACTAAAAAACAGATGTTTGACCAAAACCTCTAATCTTAACTATATATTTTGATACATTTAAATTATCACATTATTTGTTATGAATATTCCAGCTACATAAAAGTCAGCCATAATGTAGCACCAGTCATCATGTGATATCAGTAAGGAGCTTATTGTGAGCACAGAGGGACGTTCAGTCAGTAATCATAGGAGCAGTGTCTGAGGTGGTGTCTGGCTCTGGCTCACAGCCGCCGTCCATCTCCTCCATCTCCTCCATCTCCCTCTCCACAGGCTCCTCCCTGCCCCTGAAGCTTATCAGCCTCCTCTCCTTCCTCCTCCTCCTCTCCCTGTCTAGGTCTCTGGCCGTCTGCTCCAGCTCAAGCATGGCGTGCACGCTCTCTCCTCTCTCCCCCACACAGAGGCAGTGGTCCCTGCTTGTGATGGCCAGCTCCCCACCTCTCCTTCCTGTTACCATGTGGAAGAAAGAGATGGTGCTGTCCGGGCCTGCACTCTCAGGCACGAAGACAGAGGTCAGGCCCTGGTCCTGTGGCCTTTTGTGGGAGTTGGTTTTTGTTTTCTTGCTGAGTATGAAGTTGAAAAAAGCTGTCACCAGAAGCATTGTCCCTGGAATCAGAAGATATATTTCTATTTTCTCTTGACTCCATATTTCTATTGACTTTTCTTAAGGTGTGTCACATTAAAAGCACAGGTGTAAATTAAGGAATGAATTGTGGATGAATTCCATTTCTCTGGCTCGGTTACAGGGTCCTAGTATCATGAATACAGGATCATTGCCATTATATATATTTTTTAATCTGAATGACTGAGTGATAGGCAAAATACATGTATAACAATAATTATATCCATTTTACCTGGAATGATTGCATGCCACACCAACACAGGGTGCAAGAAGCAGACCACTGACATGATGGAGTAATAGAGGAACTTGTGGAAGCCTCCTATGCGCGCCATCTTTCCCCACAACACAAACAGCTGCCAGTCTGGAGGACAGCTACAGAGATAAAGAGGAAGAAGAGGAGGAAGCAGACTGTCTGTCAGTCTTGCACACAGCAAAATATTTGCATGTCAAGACAAGTTAAATAAAAAATTTTAAGAGGAAAATCAAAATATGAAGATGCAGATTTAGATATTTAAATCCTGGTTTGTACAGGTAAATTATCTGTATCTGTATCTGTGGACTGTAGCTGTATCTATATTGCACTTTTCTAGGTTTCATTACCACTCAAAGCACTTTATAGTGGTTTTACCATTCACCTATTCTCTATCACAGTTTACTCACATGCTGTTTGCACAACCATCAAGGCCAATTTGGAGTTCAGTATCTTGCCCAAGGACACATGGGCACATGTATTGGGAGAAAATTTGGTACTGAATCGGATGACCCGCTTCATCTCCTGAGCCACACATCTGTTTTTCACTCACAGTATTTATGCCACAGTATCCATCCAAAATGTAGATGTTGCAGTCGAGTGTACTCACGGCAGACACATTACCAGGAGCGCATCCAGGAAATAGGCCATCTCAAAAACCATGATGGCCAGAGATGACACTCTGGGAGGAGAAATAAGAGATGATTCAGTCTCTGTGATGAAAATCAGTAAACTCTGTCTGAACTACGTAAACTACATCTAAATATGTCAGCTTCTGTGTATGTTATCATAGGGCTGTGGGTGAAGATTGTGTTTAATTGTTTTACAAAGGGGCAAAATGTTTGTATCAAAAGGAATCAAATATGCAATGACAAAGATATATCATATTCATATGACGCCGAAGACTTGGCATTTAGTTGTGTCTTTGTTTTTTTCTTTCTAAAAATACATGACCCCTTCTCTGTTTCATGTTCAAATAACCAGATAACCATCTAATCCAGTGAACCAGAAAAATGCCCCCAAACGAATCATTATCATGCCCTCTCTGAAGAGTTTTAGCTGAGTTGTGTTTCTGTGTGTGTGTGTGTGTGTGTGTGTGTGTGTGTGTGTGTGTGTG